CAGCCGCGTTACCGTGTTGTTGTGGAAAATTATGACTCGCTGTGATCGCTCGCCGAGTACTCGTCGAAACAGCCGCAGCTGCCGCCGTGCCGGCAAAAAGGCCGGCCGGTCCTCCAGTCGGAAAATTTTGAAAAGCAGCAATCGAGCCGTTTACCGGCAGAGCCAGACTCGTGGTATCATCTGCCCAAAGACTCGGCACCCTAGCCGGATCGCTGAAACCTTGAAGGGCTGAGGTCGTGCTACACGCAATGATCTCCTTTTCCGTTGAAGAGGGCGTCGTCGGTGTTATAGCGATACTCTCGACCTCAACCGCGTCCTTGGACTTCTCCTGAGGACCACCAACATTATCGAGGGCAGCGCTCGGCGAGAGGGGCGCCGGCTTTCCCGTATTCTGCTTTTCTATCAACAGATCGTCCTGCATGTTGGACGTTGTCAGGGCTATGGTCGCGCTTGAGCTACTACCGATCGACGATTTTGGCCCGGACAAGGTACTCGAGAAGAGACTCGTTGTGCCGAAGTCCCCCATATATCACTGGAACTCGGCCCTCTCTTCTTGTATCCTATACTGTCCTCTCCTATCCTGTCCTTCTACCTCTTCCTCTTCTTTCCCTCTCTTTCGTGTTCCTCTTCTTGCAAATATACGCGAGTATTTCGTGTCCAGACGCAAACGAAAATTGGTTTCGAACCGACTCGTCGTTGTCGTCCTGTTGACGCCGCGGACGTCGTCAACGCCGAGCCGAGCTCGCGAGAGACGGCTATCGATCCACGCCGCGCGCGTAAAAACACCCACGAATCCCGGAAGCTGAGCGCGCTACGGCAAATCTTTCGATTCTCCTCGCCCTTGCTGTATATCCTTCCTTCTTTCCTTCCTTCCTTCCTTCCTTCTTCCTTCCTTCCTTTCTTCCTTTCTTCCTTTCTTCCTTTCTTCCTTCCTTTTTTCCTTTTTACTTTACTTCTTTCTCTTATCTTCACTCTTTCCGTAGTACAGATCTTCGTCCTCTAGCCTTCTACTTTGCTACTTCCACTTTCTACGTAAAAAAACTTTAGAACCGAGAGCCCGGCCGAGATCCACCGATACCACGTCGACCCGATGGCATTTCTCTGGCCTATCTCTTATCTCGTGCGAGCAGCACTCGATCCTCGTCACTCATAATTTCACCAACACCAATTTTTGTAATTAATCTCGTTTCCCTTTTTTCTTCTCTCTCTCTCTCTCTCTCGCTCTCTCTCTCTCTCTCTCTTTCTCTCTCTCTCTATCTATCTATCTATCTATCTGTCTCTCTATCTATCTCTTTCTCTCTCTCTCTTTTTCTCTTTTTCTCTCTCTCCCTTTCTCTTTTTCTATCTATCTTCTTTATCTGTTTATTCTTCGATTGATCGCACTTACCCTAGCGTCATCGACATAACTCTCTTCTTCCTTCTCCTCCTCGACAAACGACACCGCAAGAAAATAATCACACCGAAGTAATCCTCCCTTCGTTCGGTCACTCGCGCACTTCTCTTTCGTACCTGGACGCTCTTTGGAGAGCGTCCTTGCCGTGCCGAGGAGGGATCCGCGCGAGATACACGCGGCACGGTACCGTCGCCGTCTACGGTCGAACTTGGACGAGCTACTACGACGACTCCTCGTCGTTGCACACCGTCCTCCTCCTCCTCCTCCTCCTCTTCTTCCTCCTCCACCTCCACCACCTCCTCTTCCTATCTAGCCCTTCCCCCCCACCGCCCCTCCGCGCGCGCTGCCCCGTATCGTTTACTCGATCGATCACCGATAAGCCTCAACGCGAGTCCACCTCGCGATGTAACACACCGCGGAACACGCAGCACACCTTTCAAACGTATACGATGACGGTAATGGTTCTTTGAACAGTTTCTCTTTTCTATCTCTTTCTCGAAAACAAAAATTTTGCTATTACGAATCAACCGAAGACAGAAAGGAATGAAAGAGGAACGAAAGAAGGGTGCGAGCGCGTTACTTTTTTTTTTATCTTTCTCGTAGCACCGAAACGAAGAAAAGCAACCAAAAAAAAGAGGGAAGGGAAAAAAAAGGAAAGAAAAGAAAAGAAAACAAGAGGAAGCTTATTTTTCTTTTTCTCTTTTCCGTTTGCTGCAAGCTAGCGACTTGTTCCAGACAACATAATTTCACCCCCGCCGCGTCTCTTGGTCGATTCCGAAGTTCCTCGTTGGTGGCGGCGAGTCGCAGTTTGCTCGCCTTTTCATTCTACGTCGTTTTTGATAAAGAGTTCGTAAAAAGTAATGTGTTATAAAGAAGCTAACACTTCGTAATCCTCCTCTACCGATCTACAACCCAACCGACATGGTTCGTTTCTGTCTCTCCTCTTTCGTATGACTTCTTCTCGGAGTGATCAAGAGAAAACGAGATAAAGAGAGGGCGCGTGTGCGAGCGTGCGAATGAGTGAGAGAGATAAACAGAACTTGCTAGGAGCAAGCGAGAGGGCGCGCCTGTAAGAGAGTGAAAGAAATAGAAACAGAGAGAGAAAGATAGAGAGGAAAAGAGAGAGAGAGAGAGAGAGAGAGAGAGATCGAGTGAGAGGGAGCTAGACGGGGTGGCGAACGAAACGATTCGACGACGGCGGCTTTGGTGGGTTGTCTGTTCAACTCCTCCTCAAACGTAATACGTCTCATGCGTTATCGTTGTGACTTTTTCAACACTCTGCCGACTACTCTAGGTCTGACCATACCACTGGATCGACCACGGAGACCAACTTCTTATCGTATAGAGTAGCACGTATAAAGGTTCCTTAGTGTAACGTGTAAAAGAAGAATTTTTACACCTTCTCGAAATAATATTCACTGTCCTCTATTCTTTCTATTTTCTTTTCTTCTCACCAGCCTCACCGTCGTCGTCGTCGTCGTCGTCGTCGTCGTCGTCGTCGTCGTCGTCGTCGTCGTCGTCGTCGTGTCCGTGTTCGTCTAACGTCCTTCGAACGTTCTATTTCGTCGTCTTCGTCGTTTCTCGTTATTCTTGTATTTTTGATAAATTGTACTGTTACTCGCTAGTATGATAACTAGCTAGTTGCCTATCTGTTTGTCTGCCTGCCAGCCTGCCAGCCTGCCTGCCTGCCAGCCAGTCTGCTTCCTTGCCTCCTGCCTGGCTGCTTGCTAGTTCAGTCTAGGTGATAGTGACAGAGGTGGGGTGCTGCTGGTGGTAGCGTTGATGGTGGTACTTCTTCTGTCTTTCTCTAACACGTTGATGCGTCGCGCGCCGACGTTGTCCACGCACGCGCCTTGAATCACGTTGGCCCACCATCGCCTCTACCAAAAGCACCGATGTAGTTATCTCTATCTTCTTTATGCTACCTCGTGCTAGTTGTCCTCTTCCTCTTTATCTCTCCTTCTCCCTATCTCTCTCTCCCTCTCCCTCTCTCTCTTTCTCTCTCTCTCTCTCCCTCTCTCTCTCTCCCTCTCTCTCTCTCCCTCTCTCTCTCTCTCTCTCTCCCTCTCTCTTTGTGTTCGCATTTACCTCCGCCCACACTTCCTTCATGTCTTCTTGCCATCAACGTCGCACCTTTCGAATCTACAAGCTCTACGAAAGTTCACAGGACCGTAGACGAGTCTTCTTCTTCTTCTTTTTCCTCGATCACAAAAAATTAAGAATGAATGTTTTACAAGATATGGAATATTTCTATGTTTAAATCCTTTTTTTTATTTTCAAGAACGATGATTATTGTTTTAATAGAAACGATCAGAATTCCTAGTCATACGTAATTGAACTTAGAATTCAGTACGTACGAATTTACATGTACGTACGTGTATATGTATATTTATATATGTGTATATGTACATATAAATATATATATGTACTTCGTACACCTGTCGTAAAAGAGTCACGCTGATAAGATATCGACGATGCTTGCTGCCGTGCGTACATGTGCGCAAACGTAACGGTAGCCTGACAGTGGAGTAAACAGACAAGAATGATGCAATCGTTCTGCTCGAAAAGCGGAACGATTCGAGGACAATGTTGGAAAATATAGAAATCGCTACTTAGATTTTACGAATTAACTCGATCAGTTAAGCACGTAATTCTCTTGAAAATTATTTTGGAGGAATCATGATAAAAAATAAATTTTCTTAACATTTCAAACTGTCAAAGTTCTTTGAACTTTAACGATAGGATATATCTTCTTACTTTCTTTTTTCGTTGTGCTGAAGAAAAAAACACACTGTTATCGAACGACACAAGCTGATAAATATATATAATTGTATAACTTCAAGATAAACGTCTTAAAATGTCTTACGTGTTCATACATTACATTATATTTTTCTTTTTTGCATTTATTTATATTGATCCTACTGTAACGTTAAGTAAACAACGAATTAGAATAAGAATGTTTTTTTATCTTTATAATAGATACAAATTTACGGGAAAAGAAAAAATTTCGTCGGTTCTATTGACAGGTTACTATCTCAGCACAATAAACTACATTACCATCAAAAAGAAGAATGCAACGCCACTATTGTAAAGAATCGTAACTAAACGTACGTTGAACGTATGCGTATCTTACCATTAAATTGTAATTTTCTATCTTACCGACTAACGATTACAAAATTAATTACGAAATTAACGAGTATCGAGTAAACGTAGAAACAATAATTCAAAAAGTTAAGATGGCCATGTTACCATCAACTTTGTAATTGGATCGATTGGCAGTTCATTTCGTCGCTCATTTTGGTACATACAATAATATATTCGATTGAAATGTATATACACAATTATTTCTCTAATTGTAAGTATTAAAAATGAAAACGAATATATCAGATGAATGTATTGTATTGTGTCAAGGTAAACACATCATAGTGATAATTATTTGACTTTACGATGACCTTGGAGAGTCTTGTGAAAATCACGTTTAAATTTTTAAATTAAATCCTATATTCTTTTAACTGACACCAAACCGTTTTTAAAACACTACCTACACATGTGTTTTGCATAAGCCATTGTTGAGTTATTAAGCTTTATATTATGAGCGTCGTCTACGTGTCATTGTTAAGAATACATTTACACATTTTCCATTGAAATGACTCAATTCAATTGTTTTTTTTTGTGTCCTAAAAGCACACAAAGTCTGAATGTGCTATAATTTAAGTACTTACTTCCCGCGATGTACATCGCGGTATAATGCTAAAAATTTAAACATGATCATCACTAAGCTCTCCAAAGTCAAATAATTATAATTACAATGTTATCCCTTGACATCATATAACATTCGTCCGAAATATTTTTTTGTAGTTTTAATCGTTTCAGGAAAATAATCACGTATATACATTTAAAGCGAATATACTGTATAGGAGTGATTCTACAAAAATAGAAATTTTTTATAGCTCTTATTTTCTTATATTTTAATTAACATTAAATTAAATTATATTCTCAATACAAAGGAAAATAATAATTGTAAGTACATAGATAAATAATGAAAAAACGAAATATCAAAGAATAATTTATTTGTTTTCAAAAATTATCTTATAAGAAATTTTTAATATTCTGCTGTGTCAAAAATCCAGAATTCAAATTACAACATACCGTCGTAAAATTTTTATAGAATTATATATAATTTTTAGGTGTCATATCCAATTTACATTAGTCATTAATATCAGTAACAGTTGTATTTATTTTATTAAATTCTGTTTTATTGATAAATAATACGATTAAACTTTGTCCCAAGTTTTAATTCTCAATTTTCTAACGTTAAAACTATTTGCATTGTAATATCAAATAATACGATCTCAGTGAAATAGCCACTTGAAACGTATGAATAAGTTTGAAGTGAAGTTAGTACGCGTCATAAGTTTGGCGACGAGTCGTTATTTTTGTTCATTCCTTTTCGCATAATCTGTTGGTGAGCATATGTTAGGTCAGTCAACTTTTCAATATTCTGGTAAATGTTATTTTAAAAGTTTATTATTTTTAATAACTTTCTTTTAATGTAAATTTTCAACTATTTAAATTCCTACAATTCAAATGAGATTTTTTAAACTTATAATTGCAAAATTTTCAAACCTTTGTTCTCAATCTCCTAAAAAACAACGTGACAAAGGAATGAACACTAAACAGAGGATTATGATAAATGTATATTAAAACGAATGTATTTTTATGTTTAAAGAGCGCTTCATATTGTTTCCTTATAATTATTACTCTGTAAATTATAATCAAATTTTTTTCAGTCAGAATTATTAGAAAATGGCACAAAGAAAAACTAAGTAAACAATAAATATTTATTATTTTTCGAAATCTTAAGAGACCATGAAATAATGAAGAGCATACAATATAATTTTATAATAAGTTTAATTATTACTTTACAAAGATTGTTAATTAAAAACAAAAACTTTAAAATTAATTTATAATAACAAATAAAAAATAATACTTTTTTGGATTCAATAAATATTCAATCAATATTTACACTATTATTTTGTATGCACAATTGATATCTTGTAATCATATTTCTTTGTATATTTTGTAATATTTCAGATGTTAAGTGTAAGATTAACAGTTCAGTTAATTAACTCAGAAGTGTAGGATATTTTATTTCCTACTCTTAAAATATCTAATACATGAAATCATGAAACTTTTTTTAATAAATATTTTTTTTCTTATTGCTCCTAACAAACGAGATATTCAACTGGTCCTTAATTTATAAAAAGAAGAATTAAATAGTTATGAATTGTTAAGTGACCGAACATTTTGGAGACCTCAAATTTATGTTTAATTTTGATTAAAATTTAATATGAACAAAACAATAAAAAATAAAGTATATAAACATATTACAAAGTATATTAACATATTACAACAAAATAAATTCGGTAAAGACATGATAAATAAGTATATGAAGTGATAATTTTCCAATGACTATGTTCTCCGAATATTTATGGGAGTAATTGTAATTTATTTATTGTTATCTTATTTATAATTAAACGTGATAAGTCAAAAGATGTAAAAATAAAGTTTAATATCTGCATTAATAAGTTCGAATTTATTATCTTTTTATTCCTTAAAAATCTCCCTATCTTATTCATACGAAAACTTGAAGAAGTTAAGAATATAAAAAGGAATAATTTCATTCTTACAACTTAAACACTTCCAATGGAAAAATACGAAGGAAATGAAAGAAAAGTATCAAATGAGATTTTCATTATATCCATTGTTACAGTTGTATATTATTAAAATAGATAATATTTCGTAATATTTAAAATGTTCATTACTTAATTAATCATTACTTAATTAATCAGATTTGTTTATTACAAATTATATATGAATTAATAGAAATAAATATCACCAATTTAAATATTATCACTAGTATTCTATTATTTTTAAAATACCAATCTTTTTAAGAATCAAATGCATTTTACTTTTGTTTAATAAGATTACAAAAATTAAAAAATATGTCTTTTTGATGGACCACTTCAAATTCTTCAATTTTATTAACTAACCGCATGCGCACTATGTAATTGCACAGTGCTGCCCTCATCACTTAATCGACGATTTTATACTTACTCCTTGAGTCATACGTTTTGACGTTCTATAAATCTAAGAGTACGTAAGAGTACGTAAGATCAAAATCAGTTTTTTTGCACTTGATTGGTTATAATAAAAAATGAATAGGCTTTTCGGACGTGCAAAACCAAAAGAGCCATCTCCAAGCATTACCGATTGTATTGCTGGTGTAAGTGTTTTTAACTTAATAAAAAAAACAGGTTGATAACAGTATTTATTTTGTGATTTTTATGTGTTATTTTTATATATTATTAATGATTTTCATTTAGGTGGACAGTAGAGCAGATTCAGCTGAAAAGAAAATTGCACGTTTAGATGCCGAACTAAAAAAATACAAAGATCAAATGGTCAAAATGAGAGAAGGCCCAGCAAAGAATGCTGTCAAAGCTAAAGCCATGCGTGTTCTTAAACAGAGGAAAATGTATGAAGCACAAGTAGATAACTTACGCCAACAAGCATTCAATATGGAACAAGCAAATTATGCTACACAAACATTAAAAGATACTCAAGCAACAGTGGTTGCAATGAAGGATGGCGTTAAACAAATGCAAAGAGAATTTAAAAATATAAATATAGATGACATCGAGGTATGTTATTTTTATATACATATAAAGATAAAAAACTGAAGTGTCAATTGTGTATCTCTTATGCAGGATTTACAAGATAATTTGGCCGATATGTTGGAACAAGCTGATGAAGTGCAAGAAGCAATGGGTCGTAGCTATGGAATGCCAGATATTGATGAAGATGAACTTGCCGCTGAATTAGATGCTCTTGGTGATGAGATTGCTTTAGATGAGGATACATCTTACTTAGATGATGCGATCAAAGCACCTAATGCTCCTGATAAGGAGCCAGGTTCTAGTTCTGTTAGGAACAAGGTAATTATTTATACAAATATATATTTATTTAATACTTATATTATTATACATATATTTATTCATCTAATTTGTTTTTAGGATGGTGTGTTGGTGGATGAATTTGGATTACCCCAAATTCCAGCTAGTTAATTCATTAATATGTTAAGTTTAACGCATAAATAAGTGATACGTTAATGTTGATTATGGTCTCCAAAGACAAGTAGCTTATATAATATAAATATGCTTTTGCAATATCCTTAAAGGGATAAAAGAAACTACAAACAATTAATTAGAACATTCTTATATAAAAAAAAATGATTTTTACTTTATACAATTATTATAATTTTATTATTACAAAAAATACACTATTTTTATTGAAATTATTTTATGTTAAACTATTTGATTAAATTAATAAATCACTTACAATTACAATACAATTCCTTGTTATTCTAATGTTTCCACACATACAATTCTTAAAGTGTTTGCAATCGTGAAATATGCCTTTGTTTTTGATTTTGAAGCTCCATGTAATGTTCACATAAATTAAAGATAATTTCTTTGCTATCTAAAAATTGTGAATTTTCAAATCCAGAAACTTGGGAATAGTGGTGAACATGTGCCTAAAATAATAAGTATGATTAGCAATTTTTGTTCTTTCAACTTCATTTGCAAAGTTGGAAAATAATTATACTAAATATTTTATTATCATTATTACCTTTCGACGATATAATTTTGTAAACTGGTCGATTAAATTTGTAAACATACAAGAAATAGCTGAGGTATTAAGCAAGCACAACAGAGATGTTGTATGTCCAGGTGGAGGTACTGAACATAAACCTATTTTTATTGAATTCTTACTCCATGGTGTAAATTTAGCTTTACTTTGAAATCTACAAATAATAATGCACATTATATAATATTTTATTACCTATTAACATATTTATATATAATGTTATATGCTAACAAAATTATACCTTTCAATATTTCGTTTCATGCCAGTTATAGAAAATTGTCCTCTTCCAATATATGCGGCACTCAAAACAACAGAGTCTGACTGTAGTGGATGTACTTTAGTCAACTGGTTATTCCGAGACAATGCATTAGTAAACAGCATATCTTGAAGCCTTCAATATTTTTAATCATGATACACTTGTATAATGATGCTTAAAAATTTACTTACTTTGAAGCATCTGTAGTAAAAAATTTAGGTGCTGTCAAAGCTATTGGTCTAACACTACTAAATATATAATGCATCTTTTTATATGGAACAAGACTTGTAGCTAAATCACTGATGTCTATATTTAAATTTCCAGGAAATCTGGAGCCACTGTAAATAAATTAATTTATAACCTATAATCATTATTCTTTTTTAAAATTCATATAATAGGAAAAATTTATTACCTAGTCAAATGAAGAAGCATATTAACGATAATACTATTCATATCCTGAAATGGTAAACACAAAGCATTAAAATTAGCCTGATCTATATTATCATTATTCCTTATTTGAGTTTCACATATTTTTAAAAGTGCATTATTTTCAGCTGGAAATACACAAGTAGCATGTTCTATCAACTCTCTTGTCGCTAACAATGTATTGTATGGACCTGTAATAACATCTTCCATGCCTGCAGGATATATGCAAGACACTAATCTGTAAAACAAAAAATGTTTTTATTAACTACCAAAGGAATATTATTTTTTCTATGATCAATAATATATTTAATCTAATATTACTAATATTATATACCTATCTACATGAGGATAACTGTCGCTTAACATTTTCAAAGTTGCTGTTCCTAAACCAGAACCAGTTCCACCAGCAACAGAATGCAAAAGTAAAAATCCACCTAAATAATCACACAATTCAACAGACTGCCTTATTACTTCTTCGATTCGGTCATGATATTCTGTACCATGAGTATAATATCCCATGGCCCTTTAAACAATCATAATCATTATTTTATATTAATGTTTATTTTTCATTTACCAATTCTACCTTACCAATTATTTGCAGAACCAGGATAATTTGTCACCGTACAAGTTCTATTAAATAATTCACGTAATGGTCCTTGTTGAAATCGCCCTACAACACTATCTTCCATATCTATTAGAATGGCCTTCAAAGATAACTTAATGTTATTTTATTATTATGAATATTTTTGAAATTTTAAAAAATATAATAATACAGCACCCTAGCTTTAACTTTTGCTGCATTCAATTCTGCTATTGTTTTGAAGCATAAATTATCTGTATCTCCAGGTACATGAAAAAAACTGTAAAATCCATCCCATAATGCGTCTATATTCTTAATATGATTTCGTTGTATCTTAAGAAGATTGACGAATCTATTTTTAATTTGTATACCATATTCGTGTAAAGCTAAAGGCCAAAAAGCAGACCCTATTTGATTGCCGCATTGACCAACTAAAATAAATAATTAATATAATAAAATCCAAAATTATCTTAAAACTCTTATATAATTGAAAATAATTAAATTACTTTTACCTTGTATTGTTATAAACTGACTCATTTTACATTTCTGAAATTCAACAATTTTATTTTAATAGAATACTGCACCTTATGCGTTATTTGTAATGTTTCAATAATTGTTTGCAATTTATGATACGTTCGCGCCAATTTTGATTATATAAAGTGTGAGTTGGTTAATAATCGATTTTTCTCTTATTCTCGACATCGTTTCTTGCAATTTCTCGAGTCTTATTCATCAGCGCCAGCTCGAATTTCAAATCTTCTACTACACAATTCAGAGTGCCATAAGTTTTTAAGAGAGCGGTTTATATTTTATTAAAAAATAACCGATCGATGTGTATATATATATAAGAACATATATAAAAATGAAAACAATAATCAGTATATTAAAAATCATTTTTTTTTTGATAAATTTGCAGAATTTCTCTGCAAGATGTGCTGTTCCTACAGATGCAAGTGAGTTTTATATAACCTATATCATATTATACTTTTGATAATTAATGTTATTTAAGAAAGTAATAGAATATATTGTTATTTATAATTTTTATTACTTTTATATATATATATATATATGTATATATATATATTTTAATATAAAATAAATTAGTAATCCTAATTACAATGTGTACTGATAATAATTTTCTAATATTACAATTTATTTATTTGTCTAGTTCACTACATAGAACCGGGAAAAGTCATTGTAAATGATAAACCAGGATTGCAAGTATTCTGTCATAGAGCAAAGTCAAAATATGTAATAAACATGTGGAAAACAATAACGGTAAAACCAAATTTATAAGTTATGAAACAAATCTTTCAATATTACATAATAAAATTATAAGAAGTAATGCATTACAGATGAATTTAGATATTAACCTGGACACATATGATTTATATGATGGCAAAACACCTCAAGAAGTTTTTGAAAAACATGAAAATAATCAGCGATTTTGGAAGTTTAACTTTTTTGGTACAAAAAAACACAAATTACTTAAAATTAATCCATTTGAAACTACTTGTATTGGTGTTTATATTTATGAATATGATGGATTACGATATACTATTAGTATGACTCAAGCACGTAAGTTTGAAATTTATAAGTATATAATATAAATGTGTTAAAGGATATTTATTCATCATTTGGGTTGTCTCTATTAGGTGTAGATATTGAGGAAGTACTAATGGCTATGGTAGGAGTTATATTATTTTGGTCAGCTAGAAAACTGAGTCATAATCCTTTATTCTACTATTTATGTGGCATTAGTCTTGGAGTTACAGCTTCTCTTTTAGTTTTAATATATTTTACTAGTAAATTATTTCCACGTGTAAGTATAAAAAAATATTTTCTAAGTATATTTCATATTAATATTAATCTTATTTATCAGGGAAAATTTATGTACTTAATGGTTGCTACTGGTTGGTCAATGTCTTTTTACCTTGGTCAAATATTATGGGAAAACGCACAATTGATAGTATCACAGTACATAGAATATGTTATGTGGTATATTCTAATAACTTCACTAATCAGTTTTCTTATTTGTTATCGTTTTGGTCCAGTTACTAATAAGAGAACAAAACAGATTATACAATGGTTCTTACAGGTTCAGTATTCATATAAAAGACTAGTAAATTAAAAAGTTTTATGTTAGTTAATATTTCGTATCTTATATCACTTTTATGTGTAGGGTTTAGGTTTACTATTAATTTATTATAGCAGTTATTTCTACGAAGCAACATTTTTAAACTGCGTAGTAATCATTCTTTTGAATAATTTTCCAATTGCTACCATATACAAAGGAAAACAATACTGGTAAGCTTATTATATAAATACATTTAATATTTTAAATTTTATTAATTAGATTTATTAACTATTTTTAAATAATAAAATTTTGTAGTCATAGAAATAAGGCTTCCAGAAAATATCCAAAATATCGGCATTGACTGCCTTTAAAATTTCTATTCGCATTTGTTTTTACTTTTGGAGCATACCAATTGTTTTTAACTTCTTCTATATTTATTCTTAATACGAATAATACATTAAAGATATATAATCATATAATCATATTGCACTATATTTTATTATGATTTTGTATTATTTTAATAAAGATTTGTTACAAATTATCAGTTATTTTTCAATCATTTATCAATTATATTTATAAATATAAGAATATATTCTTATATCTTATATTAGGAAAAAAATGTTTCCTGAAAGGAGAAAATTATTAACAGATAATGAATACCGTAAAGAGGGTATACAAGAGACTAAAAAGGCTTTAAAAGATTTACAACAATACTGTTCTAGTCCTGAATGTAATCCTTGGAAAACAGTTTTAAAATTAAAGGATCCCATAAGGTTTAATATATTTTATAATTGTTTATAAAACTTATAAATGATAACGAATTATTTGTTCTTGTAAATGCAACATATAAATAAATATATTACGTTACAGATTCGCAAAATTTATCGAAGGAGATTCACATTTGTCTGACGAAGAAATAAAAGAACATGATGCGGAAATTACAAGAATCGTCGAAGAGTACGAATATACAGACGATGATGATTTTTGACATAGTCTTTTCTTTATATATATGTATATATATATATATGTATAAAATATATATAATATATATATATATATATATATAAATATAATACATATAATATATAATATAATGTAAAATATATATATATATATATATATATATATATATATATATATATATATAAAAAAGAAGAATACAATCACGTGGTTGAAGCAAGTACGAAATGAGACTGATTTTGTCACAACGACAGAACGTTTATATAAATAAAAAAATAAGCGTTCGAGACGAGCTAGACAGAAAAAACGAATAGATAATATTAAGTTATTATTCATACCTTTAATTTACTCATTTAAAAATTATTCATCCAATTTTAAAAAACGTATTGTATGTTCTTCTACAATTATGCACTTCAGAATTTCCAGCTGAAGTACTGCATTTATGAAGAGATCATAATTGAATGAAATTTCATTTCACTAGAAATTCTCTATTGTTCTCAGATGCATTTACATGTCGAACAATATGAGTCTACGAATTAGAACCTCAATGATATTATGCTCCTTAAATGCACTACACATAGTGATTTATAAAGATTCGCATATGAATATTCATATTTGTCTTTTTTAATCTGTACTATGAAATTGTTGCGTTATTTGTTTAGTCGTTACCACGACAGGATGAGAGTATAATTTTGTAAAAAAAAAAAAAAAAAAAAAAAAAAAAATAAAAAAAGAATAAACAAACAAAAAAAAGATTAGAAAAAAAGAAAAAACATTTTCTTAATGAGACGAACAATAAAAATATTTATTCCATTCACTATCGTGTATGATCGATTCAAATGACCCGACTGAAACAATGCACGATAGACAAAGAGAGATATCGTTTGTTGGCAAACTTTTGAACGAACTACTACGTCCAAGCATCGAAATATTTTTCTCCACGATTTGGAATCATAACGAGACTTCCCTCGAAGCGGTATGGAAGCATTGTTTACCATCGTATGCCGTCGACAACGAAAACGTCGTGAGAAAGCCTAGCTGGATTCCCCAGGGAGTCGAGATTTTTAACGTTCCTCTTCGTCCTATGCTGTCTATCCAAATAGCAAGCTGTTGGAAGAAAAACGGAACAGAGGAAACGCTTTGTCGTGAAGACTAGGATGTGGGTCAGTAATCATTCGGAGTCTCATTTCCCTTTTTATTTCTTTTTTCTTTTTCTTTTTTCTTTCTTTTCTCAGATGTATACGACGACCACGCGACGGAGTTTGCTACAGAAGTGTAGAAACATCACGACGAGCTAGGTACGCTGCTACCCTGCGGTTCGTTTGTTTCTACAGTTTTTTTATCTCCCTCTCTTTCTTTCTCTCTCGTTCACTCTTCTCCTTTTTCACCCTCAGTCGTTTTCATGAGCACACGGACCACTCCACACCGGTTATTACTTCTCTCTCTCTCTCTCTCTCTCTCTCTCTCTCTCTCTCTCTCTCTCTCTCTCTCTCTCTCTCTCTCTCTCTCTCTCTCTCTCTCTCTCTCTCTCTCTCTCTCTCTCTCTCTCTCTTTCTTTCGTTCTCCCTCTTTCTCCCGGCCCGGGAGGGCTCTAGAAAATCGGGAACAAGAATTATTATGTGCTGTATCCAAGAGCCCATATTACTACCATTACGATGGTATTCACCGATTTTTCCGATTTTCTTTAAACCGTAACTTTAACATTACCATTTACAATAGATTTTAATTTTAAAATTGTTCACTGATTTTTAAATTGACGATATAATTATATTAAGAATAATTTAACATTAATGGATTAAGACAAATTATCACGAAGAAATTGATAATTCGAATAAGAATGTAAATTTATCGAACAAAGAACTTAGATTAACATTTTCTTGATTAAATAAAAAAATTAAAAAAGAAGAAAAAGGAGAAGCAAAATACAATGTTTTAACTTTAAAAAAAATATACTCGTAAAGTTCTTCATGAAGGAAAATTATGAAAGAAAAAAAAGAAAAAAACGAACAAAAATAGCAGCAAAGCTTTTTCTTATAGGGCACGCAACAGGTAGTAAAGAATTAAGAATGAACTACAGTAGATGATTTAAATGGAATTTGAAAGGAAAACTTGTTAATTGCCTACAATTAAAACGAGATCAGTCATTCAAGAGACAACTCATATCTTGCATGTTTGATTGTCATTAAATTGTCACGAGTCGGCAAGCTGACTATCGAGAGGTGGTTGTCAATCGGACATCTTGCCAAGAAGGTTTGAGTCCTACGTATACGATTTTTTAGTGTCCATCGAACGATCTATCATATTCAATTACAAATCGTTGCAACGCGATCGTATCGTGCGTGAAATGATAGAGACGGTATTCTTCTTTGGCTTCTCAGACTTTTCAATCTGAAAAGAGATAGCTAATAATGTGGTATATTGATTTTTTCTTCGAACATTAACGAACCTATCATCATTAGAAAAATGATGATAATAATCGATAGAAAATTATAATAGAATTGAGTATGAACATGTGATTAATGTGTTATTTAAAAAAAAGCATTATTAATTAAGCGGTACTATATAAAATAATGAATAATAGATGATAGACGATAGATAATGATCTTATACTATAAAACAAAGAACAACAGAACTTTAATAAGATAATTCAAAATAAAATAAATAATAAATAAAATTAACGTGCGATGCTTCACAATGTACAGTGTACTATGTCGTTATTGACGTAATAAGCATGAAGTAAACTTTCTCAAAAAAGATAAATTACCCTTAATGGACTTTCCGAATTTCATTAATCTTTTTCATTCCGTCAACGTAACACGTAACTTAACTTGATTCTTTCCTTTCCCTCGATACGCTTTCCATATAAAACGGAAGTTACGCATGAATTTTAAAGGGACGAATACATCTATCGACTTGAATATAAATAAATGTATACACACATACATATGTACACACACACACACACACGCGTGTGCGCGCGTATATTACGTGTATATGTATATACGTAAATATGTATACGCTTATACATGAAAAACACCTTTGATTCATATTTCGAGATATTTATCGAGAAGGTAGAATACACCTGTTCTTTCTCTCGAGAATGAACATAATCTTTTGCAATGTGCTGCCTGTCTAATGGTAACCCTTCGTCTACCTACTCGATTATCGATCAGACACAAATTTTATAAGACGCGCGACTAGAATCATATGAGACTGCTATGATTACTATCCTATAAGTAAAAGTTTTATTGTCAATAAGCAGCTGCGTCCTATGTATCCGGACGTATATTTGCAAAGAACGATAGAGCTATAGATCTTTATCCGTGATAATGTTAGGCTGCTATTACTATAACTAACAGAAACGATTGCAAACAAATAAAAATATTTATTTTTTCCTATCGTGTCTTTGAAATAGCAATACTCTTACTACCTAGGACATTTTTTTAAACTCTAACTTTTATTTAATTTAATATAAGACACTTCTAGAAGTTTTTGAAAATTTCTAGAAATAAAGTATGATAATTACGAGTTTTATTTAATAAAAATATTAATTTGAAATTGATTGAGTTGAAGAATATTGTATATTTATCATAGCGTATCATTCGTTCGAATATAAATAAATATTATGAGAAAAAGAAAAAAATCTCGCGATATATACGTATCTATAAAAAATTATTCGAAGTAGCCTTTGACTCTTGCTAACGTGACCTTAAATGGATGCTCGAATTTCGCCATCATACAAAATTAATTCGATTTGCAACTTGTGCAACAAAATGCATAACGTTCAATCGAAAAGTAAATCACACGAGTTCTTAGCCGAATATTTCGTGGAAGCCACGTGATCGGCAGGTGGGATCGGTGGCGGTCCAAAGGGCAGAACCAAGATCAACAAGAAAGAAGACTGGCCTTTCCTGATGCATGGCGCACCTGCTCGTTGAAACGACACGAGAGTAGTGGACCTCTTGAACGTTGGATTTCTCTTGGCAGAAAAAGAATTACGATTTTTTTTTCTTGTTTTTCTTTCTTTTCTTTTCTTTTTTTTTCACGAAAAAAATACCACGATAAGATGACCTAATAATATTAGTTATTTGTCATAAAGTTTGAAAATGCGAATAACAATTAAAATTGAAAAATGATGGTGTTTTAACTTTCCTTAGAAAATATTATTCAATATGTATCGAATGACTGAATGTTTCGTCAGAATTTCAATTGAACGGAAACTTCGAAAATTTCCATAAAAATTACAGTTGATTATGACGAATATTCAAATTCGAGAATTTTCTCAAACGATTCTTTGGATTTTGCAAATACGTACCACTGTACGATTTACAAATTCGTCAAGCTTAGATCTTTCGAGGAGATATAAATTCTTTCTTTTATTTTTATGGGATCACAGAAGAAACTACGAAATTAACTGACCAGAAGAATAACAGCACGAGTCACCGCCACAATCAACTGAGTTTTTTCTTCGCAGTACACGTTTCAAACGGATTACCGGCACAGTGCATCCAATTATACGGGCGAGCGAATACATTCACTCACTTATTTTCTCTCTTTCTCTCTCTTTCTCTCTTTCTCTCTCTCATTCTCATTTTATATTTCTTTCTCTTTTTTTCTCCAATTACCGCAATATAACTTAACACGTAACTGCTCGATCTAGCTCCTTGATTTTCTATTTTTTTTATCCGCCTCTCGAGATGTCACACAGGAACGTTTTAGATGAGAGTGGACGAAAATGTTTGCCTTGTTTACATTCCCATGTTGCGAGTTTGTCTTAAGAATGCAAGAGAATTTCATAAAAATCATAATTAAACATGACGAGGGCTGCAGTTTTCACAAAAATGAAAATTAAACGAGCTAGCATAAAGAGTATCTAATTTAAATAACAAATGTACATATTTCGAATAATTCGAATCATTCATTTAACGAAGAATATTATATTCTTTTAAATCGAAGAATATTATACATAACGTATCTTTCAATCAAATCCAAAGAAAAAAAACTCTTACAAATTTTAACGTGCCGAGAAAAAACGCAACAAATTTGTATAAGATAATTATCAA